CCAAATGATTTACAGAAACAAAATCAGTAAGCAAGGAAAGGTCAAACTGTGACAGAATTGATTTTTCAAGCAGAATGTTGGCAGTACCATATAGGCTTTCAGAAACATATGCTAACCAACAGCAAGACATTTCAAACGGAAGCTGAGACACTGTTCTGAGGTTAACCATTTTTATTTTCTTTTTTGAAATGAAATGGATGTGAAGAAAAAAGAAACCTGAAAGAATATTCAGCCAAATGTAAATACTGATCATCAGTAGATGACAGGGATAATTTATATACTATATATATATATGTTTGTTTTTTTTTTGAGGCAGAGTTTCACTTTTGTTACCTAGGCTGGTATGCAATGGCGCAATCTCGGCTCACTGCAACCTTCGCCTCCCAGGTTCAAATGATTCTCCTGCCGCAGCCTCCCAGGTAGCTGGGATTACAGGAATGTGCCACCACACCCGGCTAATTTTTGTATTTTTAGTAGCCACGGGGTTTCACCATCTTGGCCAGTCTGGTTTCCAACTCCTGACCTCATGATCCATCCGCCTCAGCCTCCCAAAGTGCTCGGATTACAGGCATGAGCCACTGCGCCCAGCCTGATTTCTATATTTTTAGTTACATATTTATTATCTTTACCTTTTTCCAAATTTTCTAAAAATAAAAAAATTACTCATATTTTTAATTACAAGCTTTTTTTTTTTAGCAAAATGAATGAGATCAGCCATCCAGTTGTAGATATGGGACACTCTAGATAATATCTGTAAACATATATGTCTTCCCTATTAGACGCAGGACCCTCGTGAATGACACCTTAGGTTATTGTTCCTTGGAACCTGTGTCTAGCACAGGGCCTAAAATACGAGCTACATTTATTAAGAAACGTTTGTTTAGCAAATGAATTCTGAATATGGCCAAAAAACCCAAACAAGGTAACCCTGATTTATCCTCCAGATGGTACAAAAATGACTAGGATCTCCCACTAGCATCTGCCCAAGGACTTCCCTGTTGGGGATGTGCTGATCAGCCAGAAAGATGCTATTAGCCTGCATTATAACTTAATGTCCCTTGCTTCTAATATCTTCCAGTGAGTCCTTTGTCCTTACTCACCTAGCTCCTTTCCTTTTAGTATTGTCTACTGAATTGAGCCACGCTGTTTTGCCCAAACCTTGCTCTGAAAGAAGCTATAAGAAAAACGGCTAGGGGGAAAAAAAAAAAAAAGAAAAAACAGCTAGGGTGTTCAGCCTTGTATTCTGCTACAGATATCCAGACCACTCCAACACTTTAAGAGAACCCACAGGAAAAATCTGTCTCAAATCTCAATGCCATTAAAATACCTACTTTTCAGAGTAAGTAACACATTTTAATTTTATGAGCACTATGAATCTTGAAATCTTTTTTCTCTCTGCTTGAAGCTGAGAGCCAAATCTGCAGTGACCTTACTACATGCATGTCTAGGTTTTCCTCTTGTTTCATCTTACCATTCTTCCCTTCCTCTACATGACCTTGCTTTATCTTTATTTTTTCCCCTCTCTCAGATCATGTATATTTCTAGAAGTCCTTTTGGCATGAGGGAGGGTATAAACAAACCATAAAATTAAATACAACCCCAAAGCCCCCAATCCTATGCTGTCTTTGAAGATTTTTATCCATGTAGCTTGCCTGCAGGACAAGAACGTAAAACTCAGCACCACTCTCCTTGCTGTACCAACCAGGGAGTGACCTGTATGTGCATTTGTGACAAAGAAGGTCTGAGGACCAGAAGCCCCTTCCTTTTCACTTCCTGACCACCGGCTCTAAAATACACATAACCATCAATGTGAATAGAGCACTATGACTTAAGGCAAATGGTTAAGAGTGCAGACTTCAAAGCAGACCACCTGGGTTTTTATCTGCCTGCTATATCCCCCATTCTAACTGCTGACTTTACACAAGTTAAATAACATTTCTGCAAATCTTTATTCATCTGTGCAACAGGAATAATATAACGGTACCAACCTCATAAGACAGTTGAGAGCAGCAAATGCATTAACACACGCAAAAGTGACTAGACCAGTACCTAATACACAGTAAATGTGGTACCATACTATAATAGGACACTCCTGTTTTTGGTTTTTATTTTCTATTGAGACTGGGTCTTGCTGTGTTGCCCAGGCTAGTCTCAAACTCCTAGCCTCAAGCAATCTTCCCACTTCAGCCTCACAAAATGCTGGGATTACAGGCATGACCCACTACTCCTGGCCATCGCTTTAGTTCAAGTCTGATTCACAATAACGTTTCTCACTGTAAATTACTAAACCGACAAACCCATTTCTATGGTAACTTTGTGTCTGAATCGCATTTATAAATTAATGTTGATTCAAAATTTCCTGTATCCTGAATCAAGGACCAGAGAAAACAAATTAAAATAAAATAAAATGCAAAGTTCCTTCTAAACACCAGTCGTGTTTAATCATAGCTTTCCGATATAAGGAAGCAGGTTCCTGGGAATGTATCCACAATTAGTAACAGGATGATCCCTAAACCCCTAAGTGTGAATGAATACACAAGTTTACACTACTGTGTGTACACACATATACCTGCCAACGTCCCTCCATTTTCAACACAGACATCATTTAATATGCCTGAAGAGATTTAAAAAAAAAAAAAAAAACTCAATAACTATTTCTCAGGACATTCTTTTTTTTTTTTTTTTTTTTTTTTTTGGAGACGGAGTCTCGCTCTGTTGCCCAGGCTGGAGTGCAACGGCTTGATCTCAGCTCACCGCAGCCTCCGCCTCCCAGGTTCAAGCAATTCTCCTGCCTCAGCCTCCTGAGTAGCTGGGATTACAGGCGAGCAGCACCACGCCCGGCTAATTTTTGGTTTTTTTTAGCAGAGACGGGGCTTCATCATGTTGGTCAGGCTGGTCTCCATATCCTGACCTCATAATATGCCCGCCTAGGCCTCCCAAACTGCTGAGATTACACGAGTAAGCGACCGCGCCTGAAAAATAACGTATTTCAACAGGCAGCTGGTCAGAAATAAATAAATAAAATGTTGTTTAGCTATCAAAGAATAACTCTGCATTGTTAGATACTTGAGGTCCTGATTTGCACCTGAGTTTAGAAAGCTACCTCGTACATATGCACTTCTTTTTTTTTTTTTGATACAGGGTTTCACTAGGCTCGCCTTGGACTCCTGACCTCGTGATCCACCCGCCTTGGCCACCCAAACTGCTAGGATTACAGGCGTGAGCCACCGCTCCCGGCCTACATAAGCACTTAAAATGGAAATTTCTCATCAGACTCCACACCTCATGCAATGCAGAGCCCAACTCTACCTGTGCCCCGTCTTTGCTCAGGGCAGAGCCAGTCTCAGTAACTTCCTTCACACTCAGCCCACCAAGATGTAAGTCCTCAGTGAAGGACTATTCCACATACGTACGTACGTGATTATCAAATAAAGGAACTTCATACACCAACTGTACGCAAGGAAAGAAAACTAGGTAAGTATGAACGCTGTAGAGTTTAGGAAGATGAAGGAAAAAAAAATCACTGAAATTCTTATCTCTTGCAACAAAAGTTACTTCAAAATTTGATGTAAATGGATTAAATTTCAGCATTTCGCTATACCGAAATTACATGAGATGGGAAGAAAAAACCAAGAATACATCGGAGCCGCTTATCTTCCATTTCCTGCATTTCCCTTAATTACCTGCTCAAACGAACGCACCTAAGCGTTGTTACAGTGTTGAAATACTCAGTCCTTTCTAATTACCCACCCAAATGAAAGCGCCGAAGAGTATGTTACAATTTTTAATTAGAACACGTCTGTCTCTTTTATAATTCTCTTATTTCTACATATCACAGAAAATATTCTAAGAACAGAGCAAAAGGGAACAAGGACAAACCGCCAAGAAAACTGCTTTGAGAATTTGGTAATCTCAGCCCTCTCAGGTTTAGCTCGCCAACGCCTTTGGGAAAGCGAAGGAAAAGATAATATAGCTACACTTCCGAATAGCAACAGCTGAGATTACTGCCGCATGCTAGATTCTTTCCAGAGGGAGCGCGAGTACAGAGTTTTCTAAACGCTCTTCCCAAGATCCCAAGGTCAGTTTCTAACGCGGCTCCTCGGTGAAGTCCTGGAGGAGGCTCGCTCGCGCACCCCACCCTGCAAGCATTGCACTTCCCGTTCACTCTGGCCGGTCAGGAACCCTAAATTGACAGTGACAAACACTGAGAAAAGAGGAAGTGGCTAAAGACCATTTCAAGACATTTTTTAAAGGGAGATCAATGGCCCTCTTTCCGGAAAACTTCCATGGGACGCTGCCATCACACCCTCTGAAAGTTTCAGCGAATGACAATGTTGCAAAAGTGAGGCTGACTCCCCTTTAAAACATATATTTTTTAATTCTCGAAATCCTCTTGGTATCAAATCGATCCCTCCCCCGTAATAGCGACCGCAGCAAAACTAAGAGCCCCCATCCCGCTGGGGCGGATCTCGGAAGCCAGGCTCAGGGCCGGGTGCGCGCCGGGTCCTCGCTGCCAAGCGGCAGAGGAGGCGCCGGCACCGCGACGGCTGGAGAACCCGGCGAGCGCCTCCGTCACCTCCCTCACCTGGTTTGACTGGTTTGGGTGGCGGCTTCGACATCTCGCTTCCTGGAGCTGCAAATCCTAAAGGCCCCGCAGAAAAGTCCACCGCTTGCCGCCACCTGGCACTCAGGACACCCCGAAGTTTCTTTTCGTCTGGCTTACAGCCCTGCGCCGCCCAGGTCCGGCGCCCACCCTAGGCTGAGACGAGCGGACGCAGGCAGAGCGGCTCCGCCGAGTGCCCCGCCCCGCCCAGCGGCCGCCCGAGCTGTCGAGAGCGCGCGCCGGGACGACGAGGAAGTGGTCGCCGCCTCGCCGAGCGCTAATTGGCTCCCGGGCTGGCAGCTTCGCCGCAGCGGGAGCGCGGGCGGCGCGCACGGCGGCGGAACCGGCCGGAGCGGAGCGAGGGCGAAGCGGGCACGCGCCAGGACCGGCCGGGGCGCACGCGCCCCCGATAGGGAAGGGCGGGAGTCGATCAGGGGCGCGCGCCAGAGGCCACGCTCGCCGGAGCTCTGCCCCAACGGGGACTGGAACCCCGCGCTGAGCCGGGTGGAGGGGCCTCCGGTGGCCACCCGTACCTGGCACCCCTCTACACCGGGAGGGGCGTGGGCCTCTCGGGGAGCGAGCTGCGGGTAGCGGCGCACTGGGGACAGGCGCGCGCTTGGCCGTCGCCTCTCCGCTGTGTTTGGGAGGACTCGAACTGGCGCCAGGTGAGTGCGTACCTGCTCGCCACTACCGCGCCGCGCCGCGCCGCGCCTCGCTGGGGCCTGGAGGTGTCTGTAGGGTTTCTGTGCTGGAGTCCAGGACTTGGTTGCGCCCTGAAAGCCTTGCCAGGACTCTTGCCACCTTCACAGAACTGATAGATGGGCTGCCGAGGAGGACGTAGACTCCTGGTGGCGTGGTGCTCTAGCGCCCCGGAAAAATCCTGAGAATGGGAACGCTGCCTCCCAGAGACCGCGCAGTTGGGAGAAGTCGCCAGGGTTTTCACCCTCGCGGCTCGAGGTCTCATTCCTCTAGCGTTGGGGTGATGAACTACCGCCCGCCTGCTGCCTGTTATTGTAAGGCCTGCTAAGAATTTTTATTTTACGTTTTTTAATGGCTGAAAAGAAATCAAAAAATATATACTCTGTGGTTACGTGAAAATTACATGAAATTCCAAAATTTACTGGAACACGGTCACGCTCATTTCCTTCTGTGTTGTCTGTGGCCGCTTTCGCATTACCCGGCAGGGCTGAGTAGCAGCCGTCAAAGCCCAAAGCATTTCCTATCTGGCACTTTACAGAAAAAGTTTACCGACCCCTGACCTGGCGGATTCAGTCTTCGGTGAGAGGAAAGAACTGGAGCACACAAGGAAGCCAAAAATTCAAAATAACAGACCATATGGTAAACCAATTGTGTATTTGGGGAAAGAAAAAACTGTTTACAAAAGAACCTACATAAATGAAACCAACGGGGGAGGGGCATAAATGGCGTTTTCAAAAACCCCAGCCTTGAGGGATTTGTTTACCAAAAGGGAGCAAAGTTTAAACAATAGTAGGAAAAGGCTGCCCTATCTCCTGGAAGAAGAGAATCAAAATAGCTGTTGTATAGAATACGGAGTGACAAGTCCTGGAAACATTTTCCTCTTTTTAAAATGTCAGACTGTCCTGTAGATACACTTGAAGAGCACATTTAGCAGGAACATTGTCATCTGTCTTTCAGGCCATTCGCATTATTGAGTTGCCCGCTTCCTTACAATCTGCTGATTCTGCACATGCCACTTCTGAGCACTGTGCAATTTAGAATCCAAAATGTAAATATTTAGTAGTGAAATGAATTAAACATAATAAACACATATGCATTTTGGAAAAATCCCAACATTTTAGCATTAAAAAAAAGTGTAAAAAATAAAAATTAGTCATTTTAGGTCTGCTATTGGCTATCTTAGTTTGTTCTCCCACTATGCAAGAGCTCTCTGCTGTTGAGGAAAGCTTTGCATGCTCTTGAAAAATAAACGACACAGATATTCCATGAGATTGAAGGTTGTGTGTATTCCTAGTGATAGTCATGCCCTGAAATGATGGAGCTGGCAGTTCAAAGGGTTGACTCTTAGGACGCATCACATGATTTAAGTTTGTATGAAACTTAGATTTGCTTCATGAAGCCTGGCAAGTCATAATTGCAGGCTTTTAAAATTTGATTTGGTTTTGTTTTTGTTTTTTGAAGAGGTGGTTTTGGGGTTGTTTTTTGTGTTTTGTTTTGTTTTTTTTAAGATAGGATCCTACTCTGTCGCCCAGGCTGAAATGCAGTGGCACAATCACGTCTCACTGCAGCCTAATAGTTCTTAGGGGGCCACAGGCAATTAAATAGTAGAACGTGATGTGGAGGTGAACAGAGCCAGGCCTGAACTTGGAGCTCACCTAAAGCTGCCCTGTGTGTCCACACTGTTTTTGAAATAAATGGCTTCAGTGATTGCTAGGCCCACCTCCCACCCCACCCTAGTCACTTAGCCCAGTCACCTCTCTTGTCTCTACATCTTCCAATTTCTCACCCATCCCATCACATTGTCACCTGCTCATTGCTGATAGGATATGCCCAACATTTACCCAAACACTGTCTTTGACAGGCCCAGACTGCTAACTAATGTAGAACTGGGAGTTCCTGTTTTGGTTAAAAAAAAAATAATAAAACAAACAAAAAATTGCATTTGACTGTATCTGAGAGATTTTGTAAGTAGGTTTTTTTTAACTCCATCTCACTCCTGGTTCCTGAATGCAAGTAACGCCCTCAAGCCAATTTCCCATGCCACAACCATGCTGACTTGTTATTTACATGCCATGTAATTGATGCAGTAGCCACACATGTAAGCACAGATGTGCCAATTAGGATGGGGACCAGTAGTCCTTTCCATTCTGTGTGCACAGCAAATAGATGCCCCATCAATAATACATCAGTAAGAATGACATCAATTATACATCAGAGCCTGACAATTAAGCTAGCACATGTGCAACACCCTTTCTTTGCTGTTAGTAATAAAGTGCTTTTTAGCAGCTTGGAGTGATGGAAAGAAGTCAACTCAATTCTTTTAGTTTGGTATCTGACTTTTCTCCTTACTATCTGAGTGACCTTAGGCAAATCACTCTATTGTCTGAGCCAGTTTCCACTTTTGCAAAATGAAATGGAAACCAGTATGAAATGAAATGGAAACCAAAATGAAGTGAAAGGCCAAGTAATCTCTAAAGTTATATGTCTCCAAGTTTGAGAATTTATGCTTCAACAAGCTATCTAAAAATAAGCAAGATGGAGGCAAGGAATGATAACGTTTTATGAATTTTTGTTTTATTTGGTCAAGTGAGGATATCACTCTGCCAGCATCTACTGACAACATAATTTGTAAGAGAAAGAACATTTATCACCACAAAAGTGAGATAAAGAGCAGCCTCGCCCTTCGCCCCCCCCAAAAAAAAGGCTAGTTGGCAGCATGGCACTGACATACCAAAAAAGTAAGAACAGGGTAAAATAAAATTCAAAAGCAGAAAAATTATAACATAAAAATATATTTTATAATATTCATTGTATGTAGTTGTTCCCTCAATACACCTTGGAAATTTGGATGGAGATGTATATTCAATAACGTAACTTTGGATGAAATGCAAATATCCAACTTGTTCTGCTATTTTATTTTATTTTTTGAGACAGGGTCTCACTTTGTCACCCATGCTGGAGTGCAGTGTCCCAATCTCCACTCACTGCTACCCCCGCCTTGGGGGCGCAAGCAGTCCTCCCACCTTGGCCTCCAAAGTAGGTGAGACTACAGGAGCATGCCACCATGCCTGGCTAATCTTTTGTATTTTTGGTAGAGACAGGATTTTGCCATGTTGCCCAGGCTGATCTCAAACTCCTGAGCTCAAGCAATTCGCCTGCCTTGGGCTCCCAAAGTGCTGGGATTATAAGCATGAGCCACCGTGCCCAGCTGCTATTTTATCACAGTCATTATTGAATTCTTGTCTCACATAGACTTGTTAATAGAAGTAGACCCCAGTCTTAAGCAATTGTACTCAATGTGGAATATTCTGGATAAGCCAAGAAGTCAGGCAACAATAGCCCTCTCCCACTATGCTTTTTTCTCCATAACTCCAGGGAGAGTGTGAACACAGATCATAGGAACTGGAGCATTGCTGGGAGCCTCCAGCTTGGCAGCCACTTGCCCCCAGCTACACAGCCTAGGTCCCTGACCAACCAACCCCCTGAGCAGACAAGAATGAAGAACAGTGGCCATCAGGGATGACCTTCAAGAGCCACTATTCTAAGGTTGCCTCCAGCTGTGCTTCACATTTTCACTTAGTAATGAAAAATGGTCCATTGTAATAACCAAGGACTGCTTTAGTGAACCTTAGGGAAGCATGTATGAAACTGTCCTCTGTCCCCTAGACCAAAGGTCCACAAAACAGCAGCCTGTAGCTTAACCTGGCCCTCTGCCTGAACATTTGCAGTTTCATGTAGAAAGCACTACAGAAATCCAGTTAAGGGAAATGATAGCCCAATAAAAGGGACTTTCATTCTTTGTCATTAGTAGACCTGTTTTTAAAAAATTATGATTATATATTGAATTTCATGAAAAATTTGTGAAAATGTTTTTTCTCTTGGTATGTAAGTCCATACCTAACAACCTAGATTTTGCCTCTTGGCCCACACAGTGTCAAATACTTACTATCTGGCCTGTTTCCAAAAAAATGTACCTAGCCAGGTATGAGACCTAGGCTTTTGGGTGAAGAAGTAGTGTCCTTAAAGGGTATTAGCTTCTTTTTGCCTGTGGTTAGCAGTGACTTTCTTCCTGTCTCATAAATAGAGAAAGAGGCCAGCCCACAGGGGTCTCTCCCTCACTGATAATTAGTCATACCCAGGTGACTGAATCGTGCAGGTGGAAGGCAACCTGGCTAAGGAGAGGATGAAACCATGTAACACACTGTGGCCTAGCAACTCTTCCACACTCAGAAAACAGATGTTCAGGGGAAAGTGCTCAGGCAGCTCACCTGATATTGAACTGGTTGGCAGGCCCTGAGCACACCCAGCTATTGGCACTTGGTGGTAGCAGGAGAAGCCAGTGCAGTGAGGAATGTGGATAATGCAAGGATGGGCTGAGAGGTCACTGTCATCCTCCCCTCTCAGCTGGTGCTTCTAATTTAGGATTCTTTCTTTTGACATCTGAATGATATGCATTTGATTTTTTTTTTTTCTTTTAGGAAATACTAGGAAGCTGTGATTTTCAAAGCTAATTATGAAAACATTTATCATTGGAATCAGTGGGTGAGTAATTTTGCTACAAACCACTCTTTAAGATACTGAGGATGTCCAAATGGTGCTTCTGTGTGGAAGGAGTAGGGGACGGAGAAGCAGTGAGGATTCTGGAGTCCTGGGGAAGAGCAGACTGCTGTGATCAGTAGAGTGCTGGCTTCATTAATGCCAACAAGAGATGGAAGTTGGAAGAGTTTCCTATAAACAGAGAAACAGAAGAGTCAGTCAACCATGTTTACATACTTTCCCATTTATTTTGTGGAGCTAACAGCAGAGGCAAGGCCTGGTTGGGCACTGCTTTCATTCAAGATGATTTATCATTCTCTATATGGGTGTTCCTCCAGCATGGCAGAGGAGAAAACTTACTGTTTCTTTCCGGCTACGCCCAGCTTCAGACATGTGGTATAAAGAACACCCTTACCTCCATTCCTTTCCCCCATGTTTTGGGTGGCCTTATGTCCCATGTTGACCAAGCTAATCCTTGTGGCCCTGGATATACCTCTCTTTCTCTCAAACATGTTCTAAATTATATGGTCATCCTACCTGTGGTCCCAGAAGCAGGCATGCAAATAAGACATCAACATCAACTGAAAATGGCATTATTTGTTTTGCTACCATATTATGTTCATCTTTAAGTACATTCACATTATGTGTGACCCAATTAATAAAATATTTGAGACTATTTTGTTTATAATTTTGGGGAAATCATTGTGTTATTGTATTACATTACCATAGTAAGTCATCAATCAGAAGTAAAATTGAGTGAACTAAATGTCAGAACTCTGCTTTGCCTCCCATCTAATCAGAAGAAAAGTCCAATTTTTCTCTGCAGTACTTCTCTTGTGTTTCTCTTCTTTCCCACAATCACTGCCACCATCCTAATATAGGCCATCATTCCCTAATCCTGATCTTTGCCATCTAATCTTTCCTTCACATCTCTACCAGTTTCATCTTCATACAGAACATTTTAATTCTCTGCCTGGTGAATGATATTCAGTGGCAAAGATACACTAGGTTCCCAGTTTTCTAGATAACTAGGTTCCCAGTTATCTAGAACTAAATCTGAATATCATGGTATATGAAAGCCATCCATAAATAATAAAGGAAATGTATCTGCCTCAGGAGGAGCAGGCTGCAGTAAAGGTTTGATACAGGAGCTCAGTGGTATCACCAAAGACAGTTTATCCCTCTTCTATATGTGTTTCATTTGGGTTCATCTTAGAATCAGTTTATCTTTTGGTCACAAGGAGCTACAAGGAGCCCTGTGACTTGTTGTTTCTTCATAGGCTGTCACTGGGCAGAAGGGAAAATGCTTCTCTTCCCCTAGGTCATAGGTCTCCCTTTGACTGGACAAGTTTGGTCCACGTACACCCAGCTACCGTGGTAAAATAGGTGGGATTATATTGATTGGTTTAGGTCAGTGAGTTCTGTTCTGGAATTGAGAGTGGGATCAGTCCCAGCTGGACCTAAAAGACAGAAATGGGACCTGGAGAGGCAACTACAAAGTCCACTACAGGATCCAGTGTGTGTAAATAAGATTTCCCTCTTCTCGATGTCCCAATACAGCGCCATACCTAGAAACCTACCTCATGTCTTCTTGTCCTGTGCACTAGGTACTATCCATAACTTCCTAAGAAAGCCTCCTTTCCACTCTCTTTTCTTTAGCAAGTGTCATGATTTCTCCTTTTTTCTTTTAACAGACAGGATTTCACTATGTTTTCCAGGCTGTTCTTGAACTACTGGCCTCAAGCAGTCCTCCCCCCTTGGCCTCCCAAATTCTGGGATTACAAAGATGAGCCATTGCACCTGGCCAAGTGCCTTGGTTTCATTTTAGTGCTGCTGCATCTGTGAAGCCCATGCCAGGTTCAGTTGTGGCAACTTTTGTTCCTACCTTGCATCTTATGAACTTAACCACTCACTTCCCTAGGAAGTAATTATCCAATAAGTCTCAATCAAATAATTAGTTCATAGGGAAGTAATAACTTAGTAATTATTCAATTGCAAATAATGAGGTTCTGAAGGAATTCGGGGGGCATCCATGAACCTCCAGGAAATTTAACAGAAATGTAAAGACAGTCATTTTTCTGGGTTTCTTAGTCAATTTGTCTTGCTACAAAGGAATGCCTGAAGCTGAGTAATTTATAAAGAAAATAGGTTTATTTGGCTCACTGTTCTGCAGGCTGTACAGGAAGCATGGTGTTGGTATATACTTCTGATGAGGGCCTCAAGAAGCTTACACTCATGGTGGAAGGTGAAGGGGACCCAGCATGTCACATGGCAGAAGAAGGAGCCAGAGAGAGAGGGAGGTCTCAGACTTTTTAAACAGCCAGCTGTCACATGTACCAACAGAACAAGAACTTACTCATTACCATGGGGATGGCACCAAATCCTTCATGAGGGATCTGTTCCCATGAGCCGAACATCTGCCAGCAGGCCCCACCTCCAACTTGGGGATCACATTTCTTTTTTGAGACAGAGTCTCGCTTGCCCAGGCTGGAGTGCAGTGGTATGATCTCAGCTCACAGGCTGGAGTTCAGTGGCACGATCTCAGTTCACAACTTCCACCTTCTAGATTCAAGCAATTCTCCTGCCTCAGCCTCCCGAGTAGCTGGGACTACAGGGTGCACCACCACATACAGCTAATTTTTGCATTTTTAGTAGAGATGGGTTTTCACCGTGTTGACCAGGCTGTTCTTGAACTCCTGACCTCAGGTGATCCACCCACCTCGGCCTCCCAAAGTGTTGGGATTACAGGTGTGAGCTACTGTGCCTGGCCAGGGATCAGATTTCAATATGAGATTTGGAGGGAAAAAACATCCAAACTCAGTCACTGGGGAAAGAGATCATAACCTTCATGGGATTCTCTCAGAGTCCTATGACATAAAAAAATTTAAAATCCATACTGGCAGTAGACTTTGTATCCCATCTCCATTACTTAACGTAGACTAGTTTTATTAGTATACAACTTATCAATCCATAGTTTCCTTAACTGGAAGATTGGAATATTAGCATCTACCTGTTGCAATATATTCTCTATGTGTTTAAATAATTAGAGACGGCCGGGCGCGGTGGCTCACGCCTGTAATCCCAGCACTTTGGGAGGCCGAGGCGGGTGGATCACGAGGTCAAGAGATCGAGACCATCCTGGTCAACATGGTGAAACCCCGTCTCTACTAAAAATACAAAAATTAGCTGGGCATGGTGGCGCATGCCTGTAATCCCAGCTACTCAAGAGGCTGAGGCAGGAGAATTGCCTGGACCCAGGAGGCGGAGGTTGCGATGAGCCGAGATTGCGCCATTGCACTCCAGCCTGCGGAACAAGAGCGAAAATCTGTCTCAAAAAAAAAATAAATAAATAAATAATAATAATTAGAGACTGCCTTTTAACTTCTCCCTAGCCCACAGTTGTGTTCAAATACAGTGACCCCTCTTGTTACCTGGCACGTAAAACTAAACGGTCCAGGAGTTGTGCATTTATTTGGGTGTTGGGAGCAAGTAGTCACCCTTTTTCCTTCTTCAGATCCTAGAACAGAATACATGCTGGGCATGCTTATCCTCAGGTTGGATGGCACGCACGAGAGCAAGGCTGTGAGTGTGCTGCGCGTGGTGGTTGTGGGCGTGCCACAGGAGAAGATTGAGGCCTGAGCTGTCACCTGACCAGGATGCCTACAGTCTGAGTGTGGATCTTAAGTGCAGGCTTGTTTAAATGCTTTTACTCCACTCTCCTCTCCATGTCTCAGCAGACTGTCTTCTAGCCAGTCTGTCTCCTCTAAGGCTTATACAAAAATGGGGTGTGTATTTCTCATTGGCTTTAGCTAAGTCAGTGAGAAAGGATCTGATTGCTACTGTTGGTTTGACTGTATGATCTTAACAGAGATAAGTCTAGAAAATGACAGATTTTTCTAGCCAGATTGTTCATATTGTAATAAAGTCACCCCGATCACTATTTCATTAAACCAAAACTTAATACCTAAACTATGGCCATTTGGTATGGTTTACAGACATTTTTGTTAAAGAGGGGGAAAAGTCATAATATTTTCTCAATACATAGGGTAGAACCCACTCACTTTTCCAAAGAGATGGCCCATATCCTACCCAATCGTATATCATAAGGTTAAATGAGAAATTTTGTGAATCAGGTTCCTCCTACCTTGAGGCGTAAGGTATATACAAGCCATTTGACGAATGGATATTAGTTCCTTTTCCCTTTTCTAGATTGTATTTGTGGATTGATCTTATCTGGGATTAAGCACAGTTTCTTACAAATAGATGTATAGTCGGGAGTTTTTTGTGCTGTGAACATTTGATGGTATGATGAAATCTTGACCTTAGAGTAATAGTTTTAAGTGTAAAAAATAAAATACATGAATACAAAGGAAATTGGTTATATTGAAATATAGTTATAAAAATATTTTTAAAAACAAATTTGTGATATTGTAATATATACTCTTCTATGTTAATATATTAAATAACAATATCCAGAGGTGGGTCTAAACAATGTCATAAATCTGAAATAATAATAAACATCAATGATGCTTCAAGATATCCACCTCAACTGTAACATAATATGAAAATATCTGTGATTTCTGTTGGTGAATGTGAAGGGTACTTATATCACTTATAATTAAATGTTAGAATTCAGTGAAGATAAAGGTATAATTTTTTTCTCATTCAGGTTCACAAATGCCCTGACTTATATTGCAGACATAAGTCAGGTTAAAACACTCTTTCAGTAAATGACTGAATAGAGAAGTGCCTCCCTCCCATGTGATCTCCTAGATGCTGGGAAACTAGATCTAAAGAGGAGTAACTCAGTGCCCCTTCTCCCGGACTTCACAGGCCATCCAGAAGGGACAAATAACTGGCCTGATATGATAAGCTACAACAACAGGCCTCCCAGCTGGCCCCCAGGTGGAGAGACATGGGAAAAGGAGGCATCACAGAGGAAATGTGATTTCATTGTAGGTGGGCTTGTAATAAGCCACCCCTCTGTTTTTTGCACTGTGCCTGGACACAAAATCACAGTGACCATATGCAGTTTTATACACTTGCACTAAAATGTGCTACTCATATTCTCTGTGTTGCATATGAACCATAGACAAACAAATATTTCGCTTCCAACACAGTATCTGTATTTTTAAGTGTTAGTGTTAGTTCACTCACTCAGTAGTTACCTTTCTGCTTCATCTTTCTTAGCTTATATCTTATCATTTAGTACATCAGATCTGCCAGTGTCTGTGGTTTAAGGCATGATCTATGAAAGAAATCATTTTTTTCTTAAATCGTAAATATTGCTTCAAATATCCTCTTAAAAAATTATTTTAAAGTGTTGAATGATTTTTGGCTGGGCCCAGTGGCTCACACCTAATCCCGGCACTTTGGGAGGCGGAGGTGGGTGGATCACCTGAGGTCAGGAATTTCAGACCAGCCTGTTTAACATGGCAAAACCCTGTCTCTACTAAAAATACAAAAATTAGCGGGGCATAGTGGCAGATGCCTGTAATTCCAGCTACTTGGGAGGCTGAGGCAGGAGAATCACTTGAACCCAGGAGGCAGTGGTTGCAGTAAGCCAAGATCACGCCACTGCACTCCAGCCTGGGCGACACAGCAAGACCTTGTCTCTTAAAGAAAAAAAAAAGTTTAATGATTTTTTAATGCATTTTCCTTCCTGGTACTTTGTTTTTTCTTTGCTTCAGTGTGACAAATGGTGGGAAAACAACACTGGCTAAGAATTTGCAGAAACACCTCCCAAATTGCAGTATCATATGTCAGGATGATTTCTTCAAGGTATCTATAAAATTTCTTAAATAATTTATTTAATACAAAAATATTTAACCACAAAGTTAATTGAATTACATCCAAGAAGTCTTTGGCGAGTGATGTACCTTCTGTATTGAAAGGCTCATTTGCTGGGGGCGGGGACTCACACCTGTGATCCCAGCACTTTGGGAGGCCAAGGCGGGCAGATCACCTGAGGTCAAGAATTCCAGACCAGCCTGATCAACATGTAGAAACCCTGTCCCTACTAAAAATAAAAAATTAGCCAGGTGTGGTGGCGCATGCCTGTAATCCCGGCTACTTAGGAGGCTGAGGCAAGAGAATCGCCTGAACCGGGGAGGCAGAGGTTGTGGTGAGCCGAGGTCGTCCCATTGCATTCCAGCCTGGGCAACAAGAGCGAAACTCTTGTCTCCAAAAAAAAAAAAAGTAGGCTCAGCACAATGATGTTACTTATCCACTAGATGGCACTGTCTATCAGTGCTATCTTTAATTGATCATCCAAAGCATTTATTAAAGACTTACCGCGCTTTAATCTGTATTATTTATTTCCTACACACCATTTTGATGGGTACTTTATTATTTTTCCAGCCACAGTCTGAGATAGAGACAGATAAAAATGGATTTTTGCAGTATGATGGTAAGTAGATTTGCCTGTCAAATATTATGTGCTTATGTTTTCTTTTTCAAACACAAAGAACTTCACTATGTTGAACTTGATGGTTCTGTGGAACAAAAAGTTGAAAAAGGAACTTTACTATATCTGTGAAGACAGTCTTAAAATGTGTTTAAATATATTTCTATTCTTTAAGCCTGCCCTTCTAGGTTTCTGATTTATGTTGAGCTATTTAAATAAGTGAAACCCTTTTTCCAGTTTTTGTTGCTGTTGTTTTTATTATAGAGACAGGGTTTCACCATGTTGGCCAGGATGGTCTCTATCTCCTGACCTTGTGATCTGCCCACTTCGACCTCCTAAAGTGCTAGGATTACAGTTGTGAGCCACCACGCCCGGCCCTTTTTCCAATTTTATATTTAAAACTGAAAACATTGGGGCTAGGCTTGGAGGCTCACATGTGTAACGCCAGCACTTTGGAAGGCCAAAGCATGCAGATCACTTGAGCTCAGGAGTTTGAGACCAGCCTGGGAAACATAGGGAAATTCCATCTCTACCCAAAAAGAAATACAAAAATTAGCCAGGTGTGGTGGCGCACGCCTGTAGTCACAGCTACTTTGGAGGCTGAGGTGGGAGGATCACTTTGCCCAGGAGGCTGAGGTTGCAGTGAACTGAGATCACACCACTGCACTCCAGCCTATGTGACAGAGTTAGACCCTGTCTCAAAAATATGTATTTTTAAAAATAAAATAATAAAACTGAAAACACTAGAATGATAGATTTTTCTTCTTTTTAACTGAGGTAAAATATGCAGAGGTTGCAGTGGCATATAGGCATATTTGCCTATATGAGCCAAGATCATGCCACTGCACTCCAGCACTGGTGACAGTGCAAGACTGTCTCAAAAAAATAAAAGCTCATATAATTTACTGTCTTTACCAATCTTAAGTGTACAGTTCATTGGTAATAAATACATTTACATTCTTTTTTTCCTCCCTTCATTCCCCACACATGCCTCCCCTTCTGCACCTCTGGTAACCACCAGTATACTCTCTATCTTCATGAAATCTACTTTTTTTCAGCTCCCACATATGCATATGAACATGTGATATTTGTCTTTCTGTACCTGACTTATTTCATTTAGCATAATGGCCTCGAGTTCCAGCCATGTTGCAGCAAATGACAGGACTTCATTCTTTTTATGGCTGCATAATATTCCATTGCATATAGACACCATACTTTCTTTATCCATTTATGCATCAGTGGGTACCTAGGTTCATTTCATATTCTGGCTATTTGTGAATAGTGCTACAATAAACATGGGAGTGCAGATATTTTTTGGATATATTTATTTCTTTTATCTTGGATATATGCCCAGTAATAGAATTGCTGGATCATATGGTAGTTCTATGTTTAATTTTTTGAGGAATTTCCATACCTCTCCATAGCAGCTGTACTAATTTACATTCCTACCAATAGTGTATGAGGGTTCCCCTTTATCCACATGGAATGATAGGGTTCTCTTCTGAAGCAAGTTAGGCTTGCTGTCGCTCTGCTCATTCCTGCCCTGGAGATGTAGAAGTAGCTACACTGGCCACTCTCAACCCCACCCCATCAGAGAACTTTGCCTAAAGCAAACTATATTCTCTCATTCTTTCAGCTTTCCTTCCTGGTGGCCAAAGTACTAGACAGCTGTGGTTTGGTTTTGTTTTTTTTCACTGTTCAGGAAGGTTTGTGAATATATTTTAGATGGATTCTCCTCATTCCTTACCCCAGGCTAACAGTTTTGGAGCCAAAGGATTACAGTCTATCATAAAACATTTTCTGTAGAGAATATCATGCTAATAGGCTGTTTAATATTTGGTGTTCTTATTAACCTTCATACTTAAAAAGATGGTCGTTGAGTACTTATACAAACTAGCAACAGAGGGAGCTCTCTTAAAAAAGTCATAACGTATGTTCTTTATTTTTAACTGATAACATTTTAGGAAGCGTTATATAATCAGTTCTTAAGACACATAATAGTTTTATGAGAGGCAAAGTTCTTGACTTACTCTCTATTCTTGTATCCTGAGTTGCAGCCAGGATCTTTTTTTCTTCTCTTCCTCTCTTCCAGAGGTTAATGAGAAAAATCATTACAAAATAAGGGTGAAAAACAAGGAAAAACATTTTTCAGCAATTGGCAAAGAATTATTATTCCTAATTTTTAATGAATTCTTAGAAACTGATAAGAAAAACTAATATCCCAATAGGAAAAGGGCCTAAGGATATGAATAAGCCGTTCATAGAAGCAGTCAGTTATCAGATTAATAAATGTATCATAAAAGTCAAACTTAAAGAACTGCAAATTACTTTTTTTCCCACTTACCAAGTAAATGAAGATGTTTAAAGCAATGACAATTATCCAATGATAGCATGGGCTCAGTAAAACAAAGGCCCTAATATACTTTAGATGGAAGTATATGGATAAATTGGTTGGTACAGCCTTTCTGGAAAGGAGGTTGAGCATGTATCCCAAACTTAGCATGTTCATGCCATGACTTCAAGCATCTCACATCAAGAATCTATAAAGGAAAAATTGGGACATTTTGGGTAAATGTACAAATTTAAGGTATATCAAAGTACTAGTCAAGTCTTTCTAACCACAAACGGGATAGTTTTAAAATGTGGAACTATCAAGTTTTTAGAAAAAATAATTCTATTTTGAATGCAATATAGTTAATTAATATGAAATAAGTCAAAAATTAAAAATCAAAGGATGCCCAGGTGTGGTGGCTCACAACCTGTAAGCCTAGCTCTTTGGGAGGCCAAGGCGGGTAGATTGCTTGAATCCAGAGAGTTCAAGACCAGCCTGACCAACATGGCAAAACCCTGTCTCTACAAAGAATACAAAAATTAGCTAGGTGCGGTCCCCACTACTGGGCAGACTAAGGTGGGAGGATCACTTGAGTCTAGAGGCTTTGGAAGCCAAGTCAGGAGAATCACTTGAACCTGGGAGGCCAAGGTTGCAGTGAGCTGAGGTTGCACCACTGCACTCCAGTCTGGGCAACAGAGTGAGACTCTGTCTCGAAAAAGAAAAAAAAAAAGATATGGACTTAAGTATAAGGACATAGAAATATAGGCAGTAAAAGGCTGGGAAAAGATCGACTTGGAAACACCTACTGAAAGAACTGTTATAACTCTAGGAACTATACTAATACCAGACAAAGTAAACTATTTTTTTTTAATTGTACTCTAGGTCCTGGGGTACATGTATAGATCATGCAGGATTAGGTACATACATGGCAAGGTGGTTTGCTACCTCCATCCCCCCATCACCTATATCTGGCATTTCTCCCCATATTATCTCTCCTCAACCTCCCCACCCCCTGCTGTCCCTTCCCTACCCCCCATAGCAGACTCCAGTTTGTGATGCTTCCCTCCCTGTGTCCACGTGTTCTCATTGTTCAACACCCACCTGCGAGTGAGAACATGTGGTGTTTGATTTTCTCTTCTGTGTCAGTTTGCTGAGAATGATGGTTTCCAGATTCATCCATGTCCCTACAAAGGACATGAACTCATCATTTTTTATGGCTGCATAGTATTCCATGGTATATATGTGCCACATTTTCCTTGTCCAATCTATCATCAATGGGCATTTGGGTTGGTTCCAGGTTTTTGCTATTGTAAACAGTGCCGCAATGAACATGCGTGTGTGTGCAGGCAAAGTAAACTTTAAGGCTGAGTATTACTGAGATAAAGAGAGAAAAATGAGTTTCTTTGACAGAAAAATAAAACAACCTAAAATTTTTTTCTACCTAATAACATAACATTAAAATGCATTAAGTAAAAACTGGCAGAGCTAAGAGGAGAGAAAGACACAAATCCACAATTGGTGTATGGGGGAGGTTTTTGTTTTTGTTTTTCATTGAGACAGAGCCTCACTCTGTCACCTAGGCTGGAGTGCAGTGGTGTGATTGTGGCTCACTGCAACCTCTGCTGCCCAGGTTCCAATGATTCTCGTGCCTCAGTCTTCCAAGTAGCTGGGACTATATGCACACGCACGCCACTAGCCTGGCTAAGTTTTTTGTTTTTTGTCTTTTTAATAGAGATGGGGTTTCGCCATGTTGGCTAGGCTGGTCTCAAACTCCTAACCTTAGGTGATCTGCCCACCTGACCCTCTCAAAGTGCTGGGATTACAGGTGTGAGCCACCATACGCAGCTGATGAGGGAGATTTTAACACAACTTCCTTTGTGAATTAGTACTTTAACATAGCAAAGTACTACAGAATGCCTTAAGCATTAAGAACTAGATGGAAATTTAGAATGGAAAAAATACAATACTAAAATTTAAAAACTCACTGGATTGGCTCAGTAGCAGAATAACTATGATGGAGAAAATAGTGAACTTAAGGATAGAACAATACAAAGAACTCAATCTGAACAACAGAGAGAAAATAGACTGAAAAGAAATGAATAATAATGTGGAACAATAATGAAATATCTAATATTCATAACATTGGAGTACTAAGCATTCTATAGTACTTTGTTATGTTAAAGTACTAATTATTGTCTCACAATTCGAGAGGCTCTGAGATCCAGGTGTCAGCAGGTTGGCTTCCCTCTGAGGCTGTGAGGGAGACTTCGGTGCCCTTCTCCTCGCTTCTGCTATTTGCTGAAATCTCTGGCAGCCTTGCCTTCGGCTCTGTCACCTCAGTCCCTGACTTCATCTCCACGTGGTGCTCTCCCCATGTGTGTATCTGAATTTCTCCTTTTTTCTTCTTTTGTAACCAATTATATTGGATCAGGTGCCCACCCTACTCTAGTGTGACCTCACCTTAACTGATTATATCTGTAATGACCATATTTCCAAATAAAGTCACATTCTGGAGAGCTGGGCATTAGGACTTTAACATAGAGGGACACATTCAACCCATAACAGCAACTAATGGGACTGACAGACAAAAATTACTAATGATATAACAGATTTGAACAATACAGTTAACTAAGTTGACCAAAAACTGACATGTACAGAAGAACATGCACCTAATCACAACAGAATACATATTTTTTTCTTGAGTACATGGAATATATTACCCCAAATAGTCCATATATGCAAGGGCATGGAGCAAGCCCTAATACACTTCATGGATTGAAGAAATATAAAGATACTCTCTAATCACCATGAAGTAAATTAAAAATCAGTTACCAAGTGTTTAAAATGTAAGCATTACCCTTTTTTCTGATTTTCAATAACTTTTTCTCATGGAAAATTTCAAACATGCAGAAATCAGCAGAAAAGTATAATGAACTCTTTCATGAGTTCGACATCCAATTTTAATAATGTTGAACTTTTGGATAATTATATTTCATCTATACCCTCACCTACTCTATTCATCTGTATTGTTTTGGAGCAAATCCCAAACATCATTGCATTTTATCTGAAGCAAAACACTTACCTATTCCATAGGTGAAAAGCTAAATCACAATGAAAATTAGAAAATATTTTTAACTGAGTGGTAACAAAAATATGTATGTCAAAACTAGTAAGATGGCCGGTTCCAGCCAAGATGGATTAGTCCCATTGCTCACTGGTCCTCACTCCTACAGTGAAAAACCCTGGACATAATGCAACAAACAGACAAAGGAAGACTGAAAGAAAAAAAGAAACCATGCTGGCTAGGGATTCCAGGACATGACGAATGACAGGGCTGTGGGATCCCTGGGTTTTCTTTTTGCCTCCTACATATACAGGAGAAGTAAACAACATGGAACCATCTGTAGGCACAGACTAAAAAAGAAACCTGTTCTCTGTAATCAAGGGACAAGGAAAAGGGTGGCCAAGCAGAATAGAAAACTTTTTTGATAATATCCACCCTACTCTAGCCAGACATAAAAGGCAAAACCATCCTCCCCTCAGGGTGTTGGCTGGGTGCCGAGCTACACTTACAGAAGATCCATCCAGCATTAGCAAGGCAGGCTGAGTAAGCCCTCCATATCACCCATGGGGGTTGGATTAGTGGAACCAAACGGGGAGCGGCACCTTGACCTCTACCTGGCAATACACAGGTGGAAAGAGGCAGTGTGCAGTGGAGCATGTTGGCACTTCACCTTCCTTATGCAGGTGGTATCAGCTCCTGTCAGCAGAACTCAGTGGAAAGCTGAACTTCTACCCACAGCTAGCAGCAATGAAACTTAACCAGCACTCTCCTTAACCCCCTCTTCCCACAACTGACCAACTTCTGCCACAACACAGCATCAGCAGGGCCTAACAGGAGGCGGGGCATCCACCCCCACCTGAACCTGCAAGCTCTGCTAGAACAGGGTGACTGTCTGCAAAAGAAGATTAAATAGGATCTACAGCCTCATAACACAGTATCTAAAATGTCCTGGACACAACTGAGAAGCACGTGTTATACCAATACCATGATGACACAGTTGTTGAAATTATCTGACAAAGAATTTAAAGCAGCATTATGAAAAGGCTTTAAACATACTATTGCACACAGGCTTGAAACAAGTGAAAAACTAGAATGCCTCAGTAAAGGAATAGAAGATTTGAAAAAAGAGCTAGATGGAAATTTTAGAATGGAAAAAATACAATACTCAAATTAAAAACTCACTGGATTGGCTCAGTAGCAGAATAACTATGACAGAGAAAATAGTGAGCTATGCAAAGTACTCAATCTGAACAACAGAGAGAAAATAGACTGAAAAGAAATGAATAATAATGTGGAACAGTAATGAAAGATATAATATTCATATCATTGGAGTCTCTGAGAGGAGAAACTGTGGGACTAAAGTATTCAAAGAAGTAATGGTTTAAATAGAAAACTTCTCAAACTTAGTTGAAGACATAAAACTTTAAGAATCTAAGCAATCCCCAGATTAAACAAGTCTGATTTAAAAAAACAGAGAAGGAACAGATTACAAATACCAAAAGCAAAAAAGGTAATATCACTATAGATCCTACAGACATTAAAGAGATAAAAGGATATTATGACCACTCTCATCATACAAATAAATTTGAAAAGTTAGGTGAAATTGACAATTTCCTAGAAAGATATCACTTACCAAAACTAACAGCAGGACAAAGAAAAAACCTTAATAGTTCTATGTCTATTAAATAAATTAATCCATCATTTAAAAACCTTTCACTAAAAAACACTCTTAAGTGCTGATGGCTCAATTCAGTGGTTCTGGAGTGGGGCTGAGAATTTGCATTTCTGACAAGTTCCCAGGTGATGCTAATACTACTGGCTTAAGTACCATGCTTGTAAACGTTATATAAGCTACTTTTCTAAAATCACAGTTAGCTCAAAAAGTGTGTATATTTTAGAGTTTGACAATGGCATATTTGTGTTCTTTACAAATGGTCTTTTAGTTATCCATATAGAAGAACTCTTTGGTATATTAAATGTCTTAACTCTTTGCCAAAGACATTACAGATATTTTCCCCCATGTGTCAGATATCTTTCAAACTTATCTGTAGATATTTCATCTTCTCAAAGTTTTAAATTTTTGTGTAATCAGGAGAGAATAGAAGTTATAAGTAAAGCAAGGTTAGCCATGGGTTTTGGTTTTCAGAGCTGGTAATAGGGATGTGGGAGTTCACTGTACTTTACTCTCTACTTTTTTGTGTGTTTGAAATTTTCCATAATACAAATGTTTCAGACACTCTGGTTTATCAGTATTAGAGTTTAAATGTGTTATCTAAAATATTTGTTATAGGAGTTTTGAAGGAAAACAAAATGATGGTGTATATATTTATAGAATCCTGGATATACTCATCACAAAAAGTCATATCACAAAAATTTTTTGCCGTATTGATTGCATATTTTTGTGTTTGTTTAAAGTGCTTGAAGCACTTAACATGGAAAAAATGATGTCAGCCATTTCCTCTTGGAAGGAAAACGCAAGATGCTCTGTGGTATCAACAGACCGGGAAAATGCTGAGGAAATTCCCATTTTGATCATCGAAGGTTTTCTTCTTTTTAATTATAAGTAAGCATCTCCACCCTAATATTGACTCTGAATGAATGGGGGGGGAAAACTTTGTGAACTAAGTATGCTGTTATTCTAGGCCTCTTGACAATATATGGAATAGAAGCTATTTCCTGACTATTCCATATGAAGAATGTAAAAGGAGGAGAAGGTAAGTTTTGAAATAATCTTTGTGAGTTGTAATTCAAAACAAAAAATATTAGAAGAAAAATGAGGACAGCAACATTATTGAGCAGTGTGTATAGGTCATTTTTCAGAGGCAAGAAGCCTTAACTCTTTTACGGACGGAGCAGGACCTTTTCCCATAAAGGGTCATCCACTTGGAATAAGCCTTATATCAAGGCTTTGGCTCATTTCTCCTAAGTTCTCAAACAAAGCAAGCCTATGGTGATTATGATTTTGGTGTGAGTGTGCCTGTTCTGCCACAGCTACCAAGAACACCAGTTAGTTTAAAGCTTAATCCAACACAGTGGTCTCTCCATCGTTATTTACACTATTTGTCTCTTAATTCTCTTATAAAGCACTAGAAGGAAAAAGATAGGAATGATAGGAGGATTGCAAAGTTAATTTTAGGTTCAGAGAACTAAATCCATGTTGCTGTCTTTTTAACTGCCATTGAGTTAAAACATGTAACACATGTCCTAATCCTGTTTAGATTCAACCTGTTAGTGATTTCCCCATTTTCCTCGCCATTAATATTTTACTTTATCAATGTGTGTTTCTGTCAACATTAAGTTTCCTACGTGTTTTGATAGTACAAGGGTCTATGAGCCTCCAGACTCCCCGGGATACTTTGATGGCCATGTGTGGCCCATGTATCTAAAGCACAGACAAGAAATGCAGGATATCACCTGGGAAGTTGGTAAGTGCCTTTTCTGCCTCCATTCAAGGCCTTTTAATTGTCATTTGCGTCAAAGTATAGCAAAGAAAGGACTTAGAGAAAAGAATAAAGGAGCGCTTAAGCACAAACACTCTGGGCTTCTGCTCTTTCATAGCTGGTTCTCCTGGTTTCTGTTTCTCTCTGTGGCTCTTGTCAACTTCTGGATAGTTATTCATTCAACCAGTATTGAATGAATGCCTTCCAGTGCTTCTCTGGAGATGGTGAGGGGAATAAGGCAGATCCAGCCCCTGCTGTCATGCAGGTGACATTCTGTCATGGAAACAGGTGCTGTAGACACCAGCTGCCCAAGCCTGTCCTTTCCAGCTGCCGTAAGTTCTGTGACACCAAGCTCTAGGGGACTGCCCAGATCCCAGGGGTCAGGGAAGGCTTCCTTGAGGAAGTCACATTTAACCAAACTTCAGTGAGTTTAACTGAACAAAGGAGGTGAGTTGGGGAGATAGAATATCACCCCAGAAAGTGGGTATGGCACACGAAAGGTGCAGGGGACAGGAAGGAATCAGAAGCCCCTAAAAGAAAGGTGGTGTTAAGAAAGCTTTCTGGTAAAGAAAACCAAGGGATAGGATTGATGCTGGTGATACAGGCAGGGTCCAGACCCTATAAGGCCAGTAGTCTAGGTGAGGACTTTGGTCATTATCCTCAGAGAAGTGGAAAGCTCTCTATAGAGAATTTTTAAACAAGGACGTGATTGATATAGATTCTTGTTTTAGTTAAGACCCCTCTAGCTGCGTGGAGGATGGAGGAGGATAGATTTATAGGGTGTGATGTTAGACGCCTGCACTTGGTAGAACTGGGTGATAGAACAGATATGGAGGGGGCGGAAAGATGACAGACGCCTCAGCAACTGACGAATGTTGGAAAAAAGTGAAGGCATTGCAGACCTGTAAGGGAGGAATGCATGTCTGTTTTGCATAGAATGAGGTTGAGGTGCCTGGGAGACATATGTAGTAGCAGTTTGGAGGTAAGCATCCGGATCTGTGGGCCTGAGCTAAGAACAGATCGCTGGAATAGGAAACTCAATGCAGAGAAGATGGCAGAAGGCTGTTGGATAAGGCAAAGGAGTTAGAACTGATGTATGCTTTTCACAATAAAGGGGAAATAAAGGGGACTTGTCCATGTTGTGAGAAGCCTGTTGGCCTCCAGGATGAGTAGCTACGTCAGAGCCGGGCGGAATGCACACGGCGTTTATCCTCAGGGCCGAAGCTGAGGTTCTGGCTGGACCACCTCCAACTTGACCATTGGTTGCAAGAACATCCTCTTGCTTCCCTTCTCTCCCTTTTACCTAAAATGCAAATCTAATCAGGTACCTGCCCTGCTTGAATACTTTCAGTCATCTCCACATCTTTGGGATAAAATCCAAACAGCCAGACGGTAAGGCCTCTAATGACTGAGGTGCTGAGGTACAGTCTTGCTCTGAAATCTGATCTCACACTGTTCCCAAAGTTTCCCCATATTCTACCATTTCAAATGGTGCATCAGTGCTCTTGCCTCTCCCTATCCATGCTGTTTTCTGACCAGAAGGCCCTTTCCTTCCTTTAACCTAGACAACTTCTGCTTTTCTCCAAAGTTGCTTATGCCAGTTTTATTAAAAATACGTATTTTCTCTGATAGCTGAAAACACACATACAAACACACACACACAAAATACATATTTTCTGAGCCTGGTGAATTCTGAGTTAGTACATGTATTGCAGATCCCTGACCACTGCATGGTTTAGAAGCTTCTCAGGTGATCCTCATGTATAAGTATATTGAAGAATTACTCTTCAAGTAACACCTTCAGTGGTCCTAAAGTGCCATATGCCCAATACCACTTTCTTTCTTCTGTTTCTTTCCCTTCTTTCCTCTTTTCTTCTTTCTTTCTCTTCTCTTTTATTTAAGTAATTTTCACATAAGCCAGTGTGGATTTATCTGTAACAATCAAAATTTTTGACTTATTATACCTGGCTGGCATCTATTTCTTTAATCACAATTAATTTCCTTTTAAGTTATGGTCCTGGGTGCTTTGGTTAAACCTACTGGCATTTACAAGAGATGTCAGGTGCCAAAGTAAACATTATATATTAATAAGCCTGTTAGCATTTGAACCACTCTCTTTTCCCCTTGCAGTTTATTTAGATGGAACAAAATCTAAAGAGGACCTCTTTTTGCAAGTATACGAAGATCTCATACAACAGCTAGCAAAGCAACAGTGTAAGTATTATGCTAACAAAGTGGATGGTAGAGGAGAAACAGCCAGGGAAATCATTCAATACATATGAAAGAATAGAATACCAGAACGCTAATGTAGGAGTGATCATGTTCATTCATTCTTTGCTTTGAGGGTAATTCAGAATTAGAAATTCTGGGAGGGTGGTTGGAGACTCAATTATTATGTCTGTCTGTTTTTAGGGGTGAAACCATTTACCCTTTGTTACATCTCTTAATGATATTTATGTGATTTTCTTTACAATTTTTAGAGGTGGCTTTCCCAAATGGGACCGGAAGTATCCTTTGGGCAGAGTATAATTAAAATGCTGATGACTTTGTTTTAGTATGTCCAGAGCTCCCCTATTCTTTTATTCCCTTAAAGACATTCCATAAAATTTCTACATTCCAAATGCCCCAAAAATAAACAAAAGATTTTTTAAAGTATTATGAAGTGTTTATTTAAGCTTTTCATATTGAACAGCACTTTTTGCAAGTGACAGAAATCTGCCTTAAATATGGCTTCAGCAGAACAGGGGTTCTTCAGCAGAACAGGGGTACTTCAACAGTGCAGGGGTTATGGTGTCTTCAGGCTCAGCTGGATTAACCCATTTATGCCTAGTGTTCCATTGTTGGAACGCTAAGCTTGTGGGAGTTATTTATATCCTACTGCTTAAAGTCATCACCAAGGTCTGGTTTTTCACAAAAAAAATTTGCAGCCTCCAGCATAAATGGGTTAAGGAACTCAAATAAGGTCTTCAGGACCCTGCTTCTCTTCTACCTTCTGTTTAGGGTTTATTTTGAAGTCAGACTCTCCAATGACGTGGTGTCTGTTGACAGCAACATCCTCCTAGGTCCATCAGTCCCAGTATAAAAAGATAGCCTTTTTCAATATTGGACCACGAGTTGATAAATGTTGGAGCTGGGTGTTGAGTACAAGGAGGTTCATATTTATTCCATTTCTTTTGTATAAGTTTGAAATTCTTTAAATAGGTTTTTAAAAACAATACTCTATTGTACCCCAGATTAAAAGCCCAGATGATTGGTCCTGCTGGACAACATGACTTGCAAAACCAATCACTATGGCCAGGGAGATGGCATACTCTCATTGGCCAGGCCTAGATCTCATAACCCATCTTGTAATTGAATACCCCACCTAAGACTTTTTTATTTTAAAAATTTCCCTGGCCAGATGCAGTGGCTCACATTTGTAATCCCAGCACTTTGGAAAGCCAAATTGGGAGGATCGCTTGAGGTCAGGAGTTTGAGACCAGCCTGAGCAATATAGTGATACTCCATTTCTACAAAAATTAAAAATTTTTTTTTAATTATCTGGGCATGGTAGCATACACCTATAATCTCAGCAACTCAGGATATTGAGGTGGGAAGATATTGCTTGAGCCCAGGAGGTCAAGGCCACAGTGAGCCATGATTGTGCCATTGCACTCCAACCGTATCCCTAAAAATTAAAAAATAAAAAAATTTCTCAAAGAGAAAGCAGGGCAGGAGGTAGAAACTAGAAGAAGAAGGTCAAAAAAACATGCTGGAAGGACAAAACTGTAGATCTAGCTGTTGTTATATTTGAACTATTTGAATTAAAAGGATTTCCAGCTAGGTGTGGTAGCTCATGCCTGTAATCCCACACTCTGGGAAGCTGAGATGGGCAGGTCACCTGAGGTCGGGAGTTCAAGATCAGCCTGACCAACCTGGAGAAACCCTGTCTCTACTAACAATACAAAGTTAGCCAGGTGTGGTGGTGAAAGCCTATAATCCCAGCTACTCGGGAGGCTAAAACAGGAGAATCACTTGAACCTGGGAGATGGAGGTTGCAGTGAGCCGAGATTGTGCCATTGCACTCCAGCCTAGGCAACAAGAGTGAAACTCCATTTCAAAAAAAAAAGGATTTCTTTGGCTAACACCGGCAAAATGCAATCATCAGCTAGCTCAGAGAAGACAGTATGACTCACTCCAGCAGTGAAGAATGTTTTATATATGTATATACATATAGATAGATATTTTATTTTATTTTAGTGAGAAGCAACTGCCCTAGTCCAAATGTAGTCCTTCCTCAATAAGAATTAGATTTTCTACATCCTCAATAAATTCCTTTTTGACTAGGAGACTGAGCTCAACTAGGCAGCTCATTCATCCTAAACACTGTTGATTTCAGGATCAGCCCATTATATAGGCATGAACCCATTTGAAGGAATTTCAGGAACTTTTATTTTATTTTATTTTATTTTATTTTATTTTTTTGAGATGAAGTCTCATTCTGTCACCCAGGCTGTACTACAATGGTGCAGTCTTGGCTCAGTGGAACCTCCACCTTCCTGGTTCAAGCGATTCTCCTGCCTCAGCCTCCCGAGTAGCTGGGATTACAGGTGCCTGCCATCACACCCAGCTAATTTTTGGATTTTTAGTAGAAATGGGGTTTCACCATGTTGGCCAGACTCATCTCGAACCCCTGACCTCGTGTTCCACCTGCCTCGACCTTCCAAAGTGCTGGGATTACAGGTGTGAGCCACCGCACCCAGCCAGGACCATTTTAAATTTTCTTCTTGCAAGTTGAATTTAGAATCCTTGCCAGATATGCCCGCCCACCCCTGCCATCTGTTACTCTGATGAAAGTCAGGCCTCCTGTAATGAATCTCAGAGCAGCAACATGAGTGGATATAGAGGATGTGGGATGAAGGGAGGGGCTCAGCCTTTATAAATGATAGCACATGAGCCAGAGCCACTTCTCTAAGGGTTATTGGCTCCCCTTTCTGTCCCTAATGAGGCACTTCCAGGAGTGTTTTGGCTGTTGGACACCTATAGCTCTCTGTCTTCTCAGCAATGGCCAGTGTTTGGGTCCAACTTTCCTTTTTGACTAAGTGATACACTGGAGTTTGGCCTTATGATCTACCTGCTGATAAAGATGAAAGTAGCCTTGGTCACGTAGCTCAGGTAAATTGCAACCAGCTCTCTCCCAAATTCAGCCTTCACCATCTGTTCCAAGGCCCAACAACAGCTGGCATGTTTTGACAGGTACTGCTAGCCCACAAGAATGTGCATTTCTCTGTGTGACACCCCTTCTCTTTCCTTCCCTGCGTCCTAGAGGCAGGCAAGAAAGTATTCGGCTGTGCCATTTGAGGCTTCTAGATATTAAAGTTTTTTTAAAAAAAGCAAAAAACAAAGCTTAAAAAGAGGCATAAAAACAGAAATACATCAGCTTTTCTTTTCTTTTCTTTTTTGAGATGGAGTTTTGCTCTTATTCCCCAGGCTTGAGTGCAGTGGTGTGATCTTGATTCATTACAGCCTCTGCCTGCTGGATTCAAGCAATTCTGCCTCAGCCTCCTGAGTAGCTGGGACTGCAGGCGCCACGCCTGGCTAATTTTTGTATTTTTAGTAGAGACGCCGTTTCACCATGTGGCCAGGGTGGTCTTGATCTCTTGAACTCATGATCCGCCTGCCTCAGCCTCCCAAAGTGCTGTGATTACTGGTGTGAGCCACTGCACCCAGACATACATCAGCTTTTCTTACCTCTAACATTTATGCTGGTTTCAGTTACAGCATAAGTTACATAAGTTACTGTTTTATTTATAGTAACCCGTCACCTTTCCTAGTTCTTCTATCCACAGGCAAAGCTGTCCTGAAAGTGCCCTCAGCATAGCCTGGTTTAACCCTGAGCTGGGAAGGGCTTTCAGTGTTTCCAGTGACTAATCTTCAGGGTTTTCCTTTCACATCCCATAAACCTGTTTAGCTAAATTTCAGTCTTAAGTACATAAAATCATAATTATGTTTGAGGGAATGTGTTCTCTTTCCGGGTCCACAAGGGGCTGTAGTTTCAAGGGCAAGAACTTCCCAGTGCTATGCCCCACTCCCATGTCTCTCCATCCGGAGATTTAACGGTGCAGGGGCGGGAGAGGGTCAAAAGGCAATCAGTCACTCCATTGGAAGTTTAAAGGAACTTTTTCCCTTGGCCGGTGGGTGGGGGGAATTCCTCCCAGGTTAAAAGTCCTTGTCCCCACACCCAGCCAGATTTCCCCTCTGGAGTCCCCTTCCACACTCTTCGTGGAATTTTTCTCTCTTCTCCTTTTTCTCTTTCTCTACCTAAATAAAATCACTTTCTGCAAACTCTGTTTGGAATCCAGTATTTTACTTCACGAATGCACCTGCTGTGGTCCCCTCTCATTCTTGAGAAAGCAGGAGACCAAGAACCTTGGAGAAACGCCCTCTCAGGGGAGCTGAGTGCTACCCTGAACCCCAAAACCTGGAAACATGATAACATATAATAACAATGAAGAAGAAACAAGAAAGACTGAATTTAATTGTTAATGAAACAATAAATAACCCAGCAGAGTAACGGAATGGAGTTACACCTTTAATTTAATCCTTATTTAAATCCAAAGTGTGAGGCAAAATGTAATCATTTCCTTATTCTTACTAAAACAAAGTAGTCTAGCCACCAGGAACGTACAAACTCCCTTTACAAATGTTTATTTTCATCTCATTGTAAAAGCATATTGTTTTAAAAGGTTTTTATTTTATGTATGTATGTATGTATGTATTGATTTATTTTGAGATGGGGTCTTGTTCTGTCACCCCGGCTGGAGTGCAGTGACACGATCTTGGCTCACTGCAACCTCCGCCTTTCAAGTTCAAGAGATTCTCCTGCCTCAGCCTCCTGAGTAGCTGGGATTACAGGCATGTGCTACTATGCCCTACTAATTTCTGTATTTTTAGTAGAGATGAGATTTCACCATGTTAGCCAGGCTGGTCTCGAACTCCTGACGTCAGGTAGTCCATCACCTCAGCCTCCCAAATTGCTAGGATTACAGGCATGAGCCATTGTGCCCTGCCTTTTTAAATGTTTAACATAAAGCAAAAGGGAGGAAGTAATCACCTGTGTGCCTGTCAATCATCAGTGTTAACATTTTAATGAGTACACAGCCAGTCTTTTTGCTGTTAACATCAATCTCTCTTCTACAAGACTGCAGGGACAGTGTGGTTAATCAGCCATGCTTATCTCTGTTTTCAAATAAGTATTTAATATTTATGTAGCTTTATAGAGTTCATTATATTATGAAACTAAGTATCTTTTCCAGTTAAAAAAAAAACAAGGCTGTTTTGTACACTGAAGAGAAATGTAAGACTTGACATTGATATTTTAGTACAGAAGAAAGAGGTCACATGTCTAGTTCCAAATCAAAGAAATCAGGAATTGCAAAATAAAATTTAACTATCAAATGTTTGTATTTTTCATGTTAAATTTAAAGATAAATTATTATCTTGTTATACAATTATACTATAGCATAATTATCTAGTAGAGCAGTCCAAATTAACATAAGATCACTTAACGATTTACCAATTGTTAGATATTTACTGTTACAAGTGTTTCACATGGATAAATCACGTGCTATATAAAAATATCTGCACATACTCTTTATTGGTTTTCTTAATTTTGAATTATATCCCTGGAGTAAATTGTCAGAAGTGTCACTTGTGTAGTCAAAGGATATAATCATGTTTATATTTCCCATATTTCAAAAATTAAATACTACACTAAAAAGTGTGTGTTCTCCAACATGAGCTGTTTAATCAGAATGTGGTAGGTGTATCATTGAATTTCTATGCCAAAACAAGTATTCCACTGGGCTTCCGTTGTTTAAGAAAGGGATTAAAGCTAATAATACTTTCCCCACCTCAAGGGTAATACTCCAAAACAAGGATTATACTGCAGACAGCCACCCTTGTGGTTTTATTCTAGTCTTCAAACTATTTCATTCCCTGAAGTCAAGGATTATTATACCAATTGCAAGTGATATTGGATATCTATCTGGTATTTTAAGATATGCTTTAAATTTAATGCAGGGATTAAAAGAATGGGACTTAGACTCAATTTAGTTATTTACAGGAAACCAGCATTTTTGCCTCCAGAATCCCTGTAATTTTAGCATCCTTAGATTTACTGTTGTTGATGTAAAGATTTAATATGATGAGAATTGGAATTCTCCATTAATTTCTTTTTGTATTTATTCCCAAGGTTTACAAGTAACAGCATAAAGATGAAATGCAGCAAATCCTTCCTGAAGTGAATTGAGAAACTCAAAGGAGTAATTAAGAACCTTAACCAAGATACAGTGTGTACTGTGACGGCCATTGTGTCATATGTTTGATTTTATTGCACATGGTTTTACCAACATATGGAACAGTAAATATCTGTGCCAGTGGACAGGACTCTACCTTAGCAAGTTGCTCCCTCTCTAGGGAACACATAGATAGAGCAGAGCTCATAGTGAGTCAGAACATCTCCACTCTCTGAACCTAGCTCTGTAACAATGATTGGCAAACTTATCTAACTGGAGCTCAGAGTAAGAAATGAGGATTACATCACAATTCAGTATATGTAGAGTTCATTTATGTGTGTTTGTGTATATGTAGGTGTGTATATGTGTGTGTCATACATATATACATCAAGTATCATAAGACATTGACTGTATATATTATGCACTGTGATATTTTTCCATCTTTAATTTTAATAAATATATTGATTGCAACCACAGTTTGAAAAATGTTGCTCCATACCATCCCATACCAACACTCACCACCTGCAAATAATAGCATTACTAAGAGTTGCAGTCACATTGAATAAATCAACAATTTGCTGCAAGATCAGGATTATTTGTGTATTTTGTTGTGTGGGGAGTTTTTTGTTTGTTTGTTTGTTCTTTGTTACTGTTTTGTTTTGTTTTGGTTTTTTTGCATGTACCTAATACCATTGTTGAGACTTTGTTACGAACAGGGTTTGTTGGTTTTTTGTTGGCTTTTTCTTTTCCCCTCTTGGTTCATTTTGTTTTTGTCAAGCCAGTGGTCTAAAATCACAGAAATAAGCAGTTACTTCAATCACGTGAAATCCAGGGGACCTATCTTGGTGGGAAGGCAATGGTGGGAGATCTGAATTGTGTGATCTCTTAAGGCTGCTTTCAATGCTGGAATTTAAATTATGTACTGAACAATATTTTGCTTATTAATAACAAAATGATTGTACACTACCATCTCAGTCTTTATAAATATATTGTTATATTAACCATTCTCTACAAACTCATTTGGTCAGCTCTCATTATTTCTTTATTCCTAACTAGCTTGCACTCACTCAATGATGACTGGACAGTTCTTTGGATCCCACACACTACAAAAAATACAAAAACAAAACCCAGGCACAAATTACAGTTCATCCACTCAGTAACCATGACTTCAGTCAAGCTATTTAAAGTCTTGGTTTTCTCTTTTTAAGATGGAGGATATCAACAGTATTTAGAATGGGTATAGGGTAGAATGAGGATAAAGTTCAAATGTTTTAATGTGGCCTCCATGGCTTTCTCTGATCTGGCTTGTGTACCTCTCTACCCTCATTTCACATGGGAACTGGATCATATATTCACTTCTTCCTGAAAGGGAGGCTGGGAAGATGTCATGATAGTTTCAGACCGATTGTGACTCTGCCTTGGAATGTTGCCACTGAACAATATCAAGGATCTTTTAGTGAGGAAATAGGAAAGCACTGAAGATGCCTACTACAGCCTTTTCCTGCATACCTTCCCTGGCCATGATTTTATCAAGCTTGGGTTGCTGTAATTCGTGTTATTAATACAGTAGGAGAGGTTTTTTTGTTTTGTTAGGATAAAAATAGAATATAGATATGCTTATTAAACTTCACTTCTAAGAATTTCTGAGATGCCTTCTCCCCCTCACCACTACAAAGCCATGGCCCTGCTGAGTAAGAATCATCAGTTTTCTCCCCATTTCCATATACAAAGGTCAGAGAAAATATCTTTATCTTGCAAAAAACCAAAAAAGCATTGAAAAGGAACATTCCAGTAATTTTGGGAAGAAATAGTATCAATGAGAAATAGGAATTTGAAATAAGAATACCAGTACTTCATTTCTGCATGTACAATGATTCACATTACAGTTACTCTTTATTAGAGGAGTTAATGGTGGTACTGTTTTCTGTTTAGAAAGATAAAATATATATTTGACAAGGAACAAATCTGCTGAAGTCTTCACTTTCTGTGCATAAATAACCCCAGTCCCTTTAAGATGCATTTGCTATAGGAAGGCTTCGTTGTGTTTAGTATTAAATTAAACATGGGTTTGATTTCAAAAGTTTGAAAGACACATAGACTATTACACTAAAGGATGAGATTCAAGCCAAATAGTTTATCTTTTAAATATATGCTTGTGATATATGACAGTCACAAAATGTTGAGGTATTAGTCCAATAGTATATCTGAATATTGAAACTGAAACCAGAGCTGTCCGACACCTGTCCAACACCATGCAAATAGCTGGTGACAGGACCAGGCCACAATCCTGATATTATGCAAGCATGCACACATTTTTCATTTTAGACAAAGAATGACAGAAAAATAGGCTGCTAGAATACATCATCTCTCGTTCCCTATTTTAAGGGAGCAAATCAAGAAGCCTGAAAAGGAAATAACTGTGTCAGGGAAAAATGAAGCTTTCTGTTCTGCACTTTTGGATTCTAGTTAAGGAGGCAAGCCAGCTCATGAGGTTATCCATGGTGTAAGGAACAGTGGTGAGGTCCTGGAGCTGCATGCCACCATCTGGCTGTGTTGACCTGTGGCTTGTGGCTCTAGCTGTTCTTTCAATATGCCATCAATGGTGGGGAATTAAGAAAAAAAGCAGGCCAGGTGTAGTGGCTCACACCTATAATCCCAGCATTTTGGGAGGCCGAGGTGGGTGGATCACCTGAGTTCCGGAGTTCGAAACCAGCCTGGCCAATATGGTGAAACTCCATCTCTACTAAAAATACAAAAATTAGCCAGTCGTGGTGGCATGCATCTGTAGTCCCAGCTACTTGGGAGGCTGAGAAAGGAGAATCGCTTGAACCCAGGAGGTGGAGGTTGCAGTAAGCCAAGATTGTGCCGCTGCACTCCAGCCTGGGCAACAGAATGAGATATTGTCTCAAAAAAAAAAAAAAAAAAAAAAAAAAAAAGATATGGAAAAGGCATTACTCTCCTGTGCATATACAGAAATAGATGAAAATTGCAATAGCAGCTTTTGGGCCCTAATCAGAGTAGCATAACATGCAGATAAGAGAACACCAAAAGCAAAACTTCTTACCACAGTGAGCATATCTGATGCATTCATGTTCATGAGTCCAGAAATGCAAAAGTAAATACATAGTAATACATTCCAATTCCAGATCCTAGAAGTTAAGTTGTCTTGTTCAAGATTAGAAATAGAGACTAGGCTGGGTATGCAGGAAGCTGAGATGAGAGGATTGCTTGAGTCCAGAAGGTCCAGGCTGCAGTGATCCATGCTTATGCTACTGCACTCCAGCCCAGGTGACAGAGCAAAAAGACTCTGTCTCAAAAAAGAAAAGAAATAGAGGCTAAGCTGGATGTGGTAGCTCATGCCTGTAATTCCAGGCTTTGGGAGGCTGTGGTGGGAGGATCACTTGAGGCTAGGAGTTTGAGACCAGCCTGGCAATATAATGAGACCCCGTCTCTACAAAAAATTTAAAAATTAGCCACATACGGTGACTCATGCCTGTAGTCCTAGCTATGTGGGAGGCTGAGGCAGGAGGATCACTGGATCCCAGGAATTTGAGGCTGCAGTGAGCTATGATTGTGCCATTGCATTCCAGCCTGGGTGACAGTGATCTTGTCTCAGAAAAAAAAAAAAAAAAGAGAAACTAAAACTCATACAAACAAATCCTATTGACTCTTCCTTTCAAGCTTGCACAGGCAGATTCCTGGTACTCCCTGCATATGGCAGTGGTTTCCAGACCTTAGCATGTGTCAAAATCACTTGGAGAATTTGTTAGAATGTAGATTGCTAGTCCCCAACCCCAGAGGTTCTGATTCAGTAAGTTTGGAATAGGGCCCTAAAATTTGCATTTCTAGCATGTTTCTAGGTGATGCTGATGTTGATTACCCAGGAACAACATTTTCAGAATTCCAGCACTATAGTGGACAAGTAGCAGCTTCCAGGCTCAGAAGGGCCCACACTGAATTGTTATTTGGATACTTAAAGTCTGAAAGTACCAGCATTAGCCCCTAAAATATTGCAGAATCACTCTTATACCAGTTGTCGATTTTACTAACATTTAGTTCCAAATTCTCCCTTTTTGCGTCATCTGTGAAAATGAATCTGAGCCCTTTAAATGTTTTTCTTTTGCCAAGTGGCATAATGTTTAGCACTGTCAGTAGAAGGCGCTGGAGAGACACCACAGGAGGAAAGGTTTTGCCTTTTGGTTCCTGTGTGCTTGCTTGCCAGGTGACTGCAGCAAGCATGACTTCCCCAGGTTTCAGCTCCTGCAGTGCATGGCAGAGAGCAGCACCCCAGGGCCAGTTGCTGCAGTGGAGTGCCTCTAGAGAAATACCTCCCCATGAGCATATTTTCCATGGCACCCCGGAGGGTGGATTTCCCCAAAATTCCAGAGAATAGATTTCCAGCAAATTATGCCAACATGACACCAGAGCTACTTTCTTTAGTGCCCTCTCCAACAAGGTCTGGCCCTCCTTCCTACCAAGGCTCTTCCTTTGGTGTCTGTTCCTTTTTTTTTTTTGGAGACAGAGTCTTGCTCTGTCACCCTGGCTGGAATACAGTAGCACAATCTTGGCTTACTGCAATCTGTCTCCCAGGTTCGAGCAGTTCTCCTGCCTCAGCCTCCCAAGTAACTGGGATTACAGGCCTGCGCCACCACACCCAGCTAATTTTGGTATTTTTAGTAGAGACGGGGTTTCACTATGTTGGCCAGGCTGGTCTCAAACTCCTGACCTCAAGTGATCCACCCATCTCGACCTCCCAAAGTGCTGGGATTACAGGCATGAGCCACTGCGCCCAGCCAGGTGTGACTTTTATCTCTCCTTAGAGTTCTTTCTTTACTTCTTACTAGCCAATCTTTTGTTTATGTTTTATATAATATCTAACTATATTTCTTTGTTATTTATATATATTTTTATATTGTATTTTTATGTTTTTTTCTACAGCCCTTTTTAAAGCATGAATGTTTTATATTTTACCTATTTAAGTAGATTTAAATAAATATACTTAAAACATTTACACATTTATATAAAATTTACCTATTACTAAATTTATATAAATACCATCATCAGATTTTTAAAATAATTATATTTATTTTATATAAAGATTTAAAAATCTTTATAAAGATTTCTTGAGACAGAGCCTCCCTCTTGTCACTCAGGCTGGAGTGTTGTGGCACAATCTCAGCTCACTGTAACCTCTGCCTCCCAGGCTCAAGTGATTCTCATGTCTCAGGTTCCTGAGTAGCTGGGATTACAGATTTGCACCACCACACCCAGCTAATTTTTGTATTTTGAGTAGAGACGAGGTTTTGCCATGTTGGCCAGGCTGGTCTCAAACTCCTGACCTCGAGCGATTCACCCACCTCAACCTCCCAAAGTGCTGAAATTATAGTTGTTGTGAGCCACTGTACCCGGCGTATATAATTCTTCATATTAAACTTCCTGTTCACGTTATTGAGTGGCTTTTCTCTCCCGATTGGACCCAGAATAATACAACTATTGGGGGTACTATCCAACTGATTTATAGAAGATGGACTTGGGCAACTGTGTGGCTGTCCTTTCCTTTAAAGAAAACAAAAAACAAACAAACAAAATAACTTGCCGGGATTTACTTCTCAGATTCAGTGCACATATCATTTGCCCATAGAATAAAAACGTTTGGCCAATCACAGGTGCCACAGATGCCATCCTGAAATTTTACCTTACCATACTTGTTCCCCATCAGACAGTCAACGGGCTTCCTAAGGATACGTTGGATACCCTCAATTCGAGGGTAGTTTCTCAGGCAGAAAGAGAGGCTTGGTTTTTTTGAGTCCAGGATTTCAAGATAATTTTAAAACATGGCTTGCTTTTTAGACATGATCTACCATCTGTTAGTCTGAAGGTTATACTGAAGGACTTTCTTAAAACCTCAAAGTAACTATGATGGAATAATCTAACAGAAAGATAATTTCTATGGCCACTGTAGTGTTCTTCACAGACTCAAGTCTAATAATGTGCTTATTTT